ACCGGCCCATTCAGACTATATTATGGCCTCCACCATCCCGCACGTCAAACCTACCGCCGGTCTAACGTGCCGGATAGGGAGGCGGAACTTTGATATCCTTACCTTAATAAAAAAATAAAAACCAGGCCGGTTGCCGGCCTTACGAACAATTCAAGGGAGAGTATCACACACGCGCCTCAAAGATTGCGCGCCCACACACTCTCCGCTCTAGGCAACCACCCCACCTACGTAACCAAACAGACTCAGACGCGTCTCGCGCGGTACACTTAGAGTTTTAAACTTACTTCCTGTCATTTGCAAAAACTAGGGCGGATACCCTTGTCAGGGTATTCGCACCGACACCGCGCTAACGCAGACACAGCGCCAATGACAACAAACACATGCGAGAGAGAGGGAGGAAGACTATACAACATTCTAAGTGTATCTGGATACGTCGTAGGTCCGATACATTCCAAATGTGTGAGCAATCCGAATCTTGCTAGTGGTTCAGGCCTTGCATAAATCTCCTTGTTCAGTTGCTAGGGCTCCTGTGGCTGAGCTTGCCAGTGAAATTTTATTGAAAATGTATGGGGCAGTTTTATGCCCCCGATACATTACCAGCCTCTCTACACGTCTCTGATGCTGAACTCAGGGGGTGGACGGACGACGCTGTGACGAACCACTTTCTATAACGCGCGATTTTCTGCGCGGTTGCAATGAGGGGTCCTAAGCTGGGAAGATTGGGCCAATTTCGGGAGATCGGGATCAGTGGAGAATTTTATCAGTATCCTCGCTGTTTCATCCTTTTTTATCGTTTCTTTTTCGAATGGGCGGACACGGGGTCAGGTGTGTCTTGTCGACGACCGGTTGATTGATTGGTCGGATGGTTGTCTGGCGCGACGCCACACGCTCGCGCAATTATTAAACGTTGACGTCGTTTCTTTCGGTTCGATTTCGATCTTTTGGGCGCGGACATTGCGCGGGAAATTGCTTCGTTCTTTTTGAATTTCCTTTTAAATATTTTTCGAATTTTATCCCCGATGGCTCTCGGAATTTCGGACTTTCCGTCTGGAATTCGTGCTTCTTTTTGCTTTTTCGCATTAGAGAGGAATTTAGAAATTTAGTAATTAGTATTTTTCCTGCCGCGCGGCGCCTTTTTGTCTACGCGCTTCTTCATGCAACCGCACGGTACTCTGATTAGTGGGCGCCCTTAATCGTGTGTGTAACCGTAATTTTGGGCGGGCGCCATTGTAACTGTATCTCTCTTCTTGCACTTCGTCTCTCCCGCCCTCCCTTTCCTTCTTTTGCTGAAATTTTGTAAGCCGCGGCTTGCACGCTCGGATCGATGTGTGGAGAAGGGTTACGTCCCCCACGCCGCGGCCGATCATGCAGAACGCNACTGTATCTCTCTTCTTGCACTTCGTCTCTCCCGCCCTCCCTTTCCTTCTTTTGCTGAAATTTTGTAAGCCGCGGCTTGCATGCTCGGATCGATGCGAGGAGAAGGGTTACGTCCCCCACGCCGCGACCAATCATGCAGAACGCAAGCGTTCCCTCTCTAATCCTCACTCTAAGTCTTGGTAATTCTGTGTTCTTCGCTCATGCATGCATGCTATAAATTTCGGCTGCGCGATTAGTCAGCTCTCTTAACCCGTTGTTGGAAGCTCGGGTTGCATGATCAGGAAGGGTCGGGACACGAGCGAAGTAAGAGGTGAGTAGAGTAGGAGTCGGGCGACCCAACGGGCTGGTGCCGAACGCACGAGATTGACGTGGGCCACGACGGACTGTGGGCACGGGCGAATCCGACGGGCGGGAGGACTAAGCGGGGTGACAACTTCGTGGGTTGGTGCGTGACGGCGGACTGACCGCATCGGAGAGAAAGAGAAAGAAGAGAGAGTTGAGGTCGATGGACGCGGATTTGCTGTTTTCTTGTCTCTTCCCCCTCTTCATCTGTGTACATACATTTTGATTACGGCTCCGGGTGGTTTCCCGTTCTTATTTTCGTTTCGGCTTTCTGAAATCAGGGCTTGGGTTTTTGCTCACACTTGTCCTTGCGATGTCCGTCCTGCTTGCATTATGTGTATGATTGTCGAATGTATGGATGTATGGACGTTATGACTGCTTGTCTATCTTTTTGCTGAGAATCCCTGTCCTTGTGTTATGTCTGTGTCGAATCTTTGCCCGCATCTGATGTCACTATAGATGGGATAAGAATCTGGCCCCGATAGTGATTTTGTTCTCGTTTTTGCTTATCCCGCGATGGGGGTTGCGATATGATTGCATCTTGCATAATCGACGATCCGAAGTCTAGTCCCGCGAGCGCCGCGCGAGAACACGTGTAAACGCGATCCGAGTCGCGCCCTTACACGCATTCCCGTGCGTCAATTCGATCACCCCAAAAGGATTCGTGGCGGAACCATCATCCCGTACGAGCACGCCGAGGCGCCACTGAGTCTGCCTACCCTACACGTGCTCGTGCGCGGTGACGATATCCCGACCCGTGCTATCCCACCTGCGATGATACCATGACGCGATCTTGGGGCTCAGACTCATCCTATGACCCGGACTATTTCACCCCTATAATAAACGAGCTCATAAGGACACGATACCCCTGTCACACGGAGAATCGGCTATGTCCGCGGGAATTCCACTGTGCCACCTCTAGCGACCCTCGATGCTCCGATTTCCCTTCTCCCGACCACACCTACTACTTCACCCACCCGAGATTCGTTGAGATCACCACCAGTTTCCCTCCTTTCCGCCTCCTTCTCCCGTATCATCAACTCACTGTCATTCCGTGGCCGGCCATAGCCCCCTATTGGCCCAATACGTTTTGCGTGAACTGCCGACGTAGCGGCGCACAGAGAACTCCGGAGTTCCGAAGGCCCAACCCAGGTACGCGGCGGCCTGCGCCACGTGGCGGCCCCCACGGCCTAACTTTTCGGGACAATCTCCACCACGGAGGAATTTTCCCGTAACCCGTCGCCCACAGTGTCCCAGCCCCTTCAGACTGTGAGACCCTTGCGCGCGCACCCCTCGTTCGCCTAATTGCATTCATACCCTTAAGACTCCCCCACTTCCCCCAAAAATGCTTGGCACACCCCTTTTCGCACTTCCAGGCCCACACTCCACTCCGATCAGGAAGTCGCGCTGGGCGTGAGGTTGGGCGTCACAACGCTTCCCATTCTGACAGGCCAACTGCCCACTCATTAGAAATTCATTATATATACGCCACTTTTCTGAATGGAACTCGTGACTGCCCTCTACCGCAAAGAAAATTGCTCTAGAGGGAAGACCCCCCTTCGAATGCGTTTTCTTTTCTTTTTTTTATGCATGGCCAATCAGAGGGGGATCCATTTTCATTGCAAAACATGAAAAACGGGATACAAACCAAACAATTGATGAAAAAAGCAGTGCCCTCAGATCTCCGTGGAATGGACGGCCCTAACGGATCGAACTACTACGTTATAGCTAAGGCTTATCCCGTTGCTGTGGGACCGTGCTGTGGACCGTGCCCCAGGTGGGCGATACCGGCCAGGGGGCAGCCGGTAGCATCAGTGACCATGCCAATAGGACCAATCCCTGTGCCTCCCCTCGACCCCTACGAACATCACCAGACTCTGCTCAATGCCGATCGGGGGATCCAGTGGTCTATTTCTAGGTGGCGGGTGCAAAGCATGCCCCAGGAAGGTACATGATGCCGATGGGGATTGAGCCCACGACCTCCTGAATGCTACTTACGAGCCTTACTAACTGAGCTACCGCTGGATTCTCGCGCCAATCTTCATGAAACTACTCCGTTTGGACTTCCTTTGAATTTGAAAGTGGCCTGGTTGTTTTTCACGCTTCGAGTCTTCCGCCGAGACTGGTCAGCCGACGAACGACATGTGCCATTTTGTCACGAATGATTAAAACCCGCCAGTCACGGAATCGTCGTAGAGCGCTGACGAGCCGGCACCCCGTAACCACACCATTACCGCCCCTCGACACATCCCAGGGTGATCGTTTCTCTGCTGTCTCCTGACCGTGCTTCCTTCATTGTAGCTCGGCACTGCGAGCGTCGTCCCAGGTGTCGGGGTGGTGCTCTCCGGACGAGCGAGCGACCGTGCCCTAGTCCCAGGACTGCAGTAGCACCGTCGTCATAGATCTGTCAGACCGTGGATTTGGACGGTTATTATCAACCTGTACTCGATTAGAAGTCAGTAGGGTATCCGTCGAGTTTGGCAACGCATATAGAGAGACGGTGTTCATCATTTTTGATATAACTGTTTAATTACATCATTTTTGATATAACTGTTTAATTATCCTCGGTTGTTGACGGAGCATCATGCAGGCAGTCAGCTAGGTGATTGAGTACAGCAAATAGTATGTGAGAACATCTTCTCTCCGGGGCTCTAATTGGGTACAGCAAATAGGATGTTCCTGCCTCTTGTCTCCGGGGTTTTCGTACAGAAGAGGAGAGGACAAAAGGCGGGAGGCACGAGGCAATGGCGCGCTTTGCAGATGAATTCTGTCTCCCGTCTGTTCGGTCATTGGTAGAAGGAGAGAAGTATCACATGAACGTTCATGGGTGATTGATACATTCATCTTGGCACATCAGCTGATTGTCGCTTGATCACCTTCGACGGGGAGGCAGTCGAGAGGTGTAGAGTGAGTGAAGCGAGTAAAACCGCGCAGCAGAAGGGAGGAGGGGTTCGATATATCATATTAAAGCCCGGCTGATGATCGATGCCGTACTTCACATCCGTTGCATAGAGGCTAGGCTGTGCAATCAATTAGCCAATAAGGTGGTCGGAAAGGAAGTTGGTTCTTGATCGCCGGCATTGTAGTGGTTATGACGTGGCTTTCTTTACCCTAGAGATTTTGGCATGTGGATGGCCATCGCACGTGGAGCGCTTTCTGGGCCTCACGCCCAGTCATCGCTCCAAACCTGCGGGAAATTGAGAGACGGCGCGATCGGCTAACTTCGCCGCGCTCTCAATCGCAATTGCGAGGGTGCGGGCGACACTCGCAGAGGCCAACCGGGCACGGGGATGAACTGATTAGATCAGACATGTGAAGTGGGCAGGCGCGCCCAGCGCTTCTGCTTGCCTTCTCCCTCGGCAGAGTATTTAGCGGGAACTCCTGGTCACTATATCAGCCAGCAAAAAGGGAAATAATACTCGCATCAAGTAGAGAGACGGAGGAGACGGAGGATGGGGAGAGGGTTGTCGCCTTTGCGTCTCTTGTTGGGTCGGTCACCGTCCAAGCGACAACAGCAGGAGCACCTACACCAGCAACAACAACAGCAGCAACATCAGGGAGGGCAGGGCGCGCAAGCGCAGGCGGGGGGTGGTGGAGATGGATGTGAGCCTTCTGGCACGGGCAAGGGCAACGCCACGGGGGACAGGAAACCCCTTGCGCCGGCAGAGAATAATGCGCGCGAAGGGGATACTCCGGCCGCCGATGGTGCGGCGCCGGTCGTTGATCGGATAGATATCGGCCGAGCCGCTGGGTCAAAGCATCATCATGGTAAAACCAAGCCGTCATTTGCGCGGCATAATGTAGGAGCTGGAGGGGATGCGAAAGGAGGGGGCGGAGTTAACTTATGTGTGGGAGCTGTGGATGCAGGACGGGGTTTGGCGGGAGGAAGTGCCAGAGAGCGAAGCTCTTCTAGCACCCCGCCACGTGGCGCAACTGGCCCCGGCTGGCACCCGGCTATGCGGGGCAATTCGAACACGAACCCGAATCCGAACGCGAACGGAGGCGTTCCGCTGGCGACCGGTGGGATCGCCACCGGGCAAGGGCAAGCTGCGAGGCTCCCTCAGCCGCAGCAGAGCGCCAGAGGTGGGCAGTCCGAATTCGAAGGGGCTAATCCATCACCAGGTGGACTTCCCGGGTCATCAGGTAGTCGTATGTTGTCAAACCTTGCGGCAGCAGCTGTGCAAGACGGCAATCGAAGTTCTCCGAGAACGCCGGTCAAATTGCGGCCACCCCCCGGCTTCGACCAGAGCTCGACCGCGATTGCAGATCCGCCGCAGCCGACAGGAGGCGTTTCCGAGCATCAGCAGCACCAACAAAACCACGCTGGTATTAGTAACAGACGAGCGGGAGCTAATCAGGGTACGCCCGGCGTTGCAGAGGTGGGGGATAATGCGCGCTCGAAAACCCCTCGCAGATCCGACATGGCCGGCGCCCCGTCATCGGCGGCGGCGGCGGCCGCGGCCGCGGCCCCACTGGGAGCAGCGTATCGTGGAGGCATTGGCGCGGGAGAAGCGAACGGTATGACGCCGTCAAATCAGCAACAGCCGGGATCAGCGGTGGGGACGGGTGGTTACGGTGGTGCCACGCTGCCAAACACTGTAAAGCTAACGAAACAACGTGGGCAGCAGGCAAGGGACTTAGCGCTTGGTGATGGTGGCGGACCTCCTGCTGGGCAGAATGGGCAGGCGGGCCTGTCTCTGAAGACTGCGAAGCAGATCTATAGAACGCCGAAGTACCAGAATGGCGATGGTGGGCCTAATGCCGCCCCTGTCATGGGTTTTACTGGAGGAGGAGCGAGGACGGCGCAAAGAGCCGCCATGGCTGCAGGCTCTCACATTCCCATGTTCCCGCACCTGCCTGTCGAAGAGTTCGATCTGGAGGAGACATGGAACTCTTGGACAGAAGATCAATCCGTCCAGGTAAGCCGCAAATGTATATATACTATCAAGTATCGTGAAACTGGTCGTTGGGACCACGGTTGTGCAACTTGTTTCTGTAATGCCAGAGTGATGAGAAAGGTTGGGAGATGGCGAAGCAAGCACGTTTCAATTTTAACCATGAAGCTCATGCAGGAGATACAGGAGAGTGCCGATATGTCGTGCAATCCAATCCGTTTATAATTTCTTGGCTTTTTACGTCCGTTGAAGAGGTGTGGTGTATCTGACTCTTTCTCTCTGGACCTGTGTGTAATTGCGGCTGACGTTTTGCAAGTTCTTTGCTGTCCTTTCCCTTCTTCACTCTCCCCCTGACTCTTTCTGTCGGGACCTGTGTGTAATTGCGGCTGACGTTTTGCATGTTCTTTGCTGTCCTTCCCCTTCTTCACTCTCCCCCTGCCCGCCCCCCCGCCCCTTTCGCCCTCCCCTCTCCCCCCTCCCTCGCTTCTTTATCCCCATCCCCACCCGCTTCTCCTCCCCTTTTTCCCGCCTTTCTTCTGTGCGCGTGCATTCGCTCGACAGGTGATTGTTCGACTGCGGCCAATCAATGCAAGGGAGTCATCGATGCATGGAGATCGTCGATGCTTGCGTCAGGACAGTCCACGGTCGCTGATATTCTTCACGCATCCTGAGCCGCAGCGCTTCACATTCGATCATGTCGCCGGAGAGCACGTAACGCAGGTACGGGAGGAGGAAACGCGTGCCCGAGTGTGTTTATTGGGGCGGGTGCGGAAGGTGGCGGAAGGAGGTGGGAGGACCCGGATGGAGGTGGGAGGATGAAGAAGGTTCATGGTGATCGCCATCATCGCCGTCATCATCTTCGTCATCTTTTATCGCCTGGCATCATCTTCGTCATCTTTTATCGCCTGTCATCATCTTCGTCTTTAGCATCATTCTTGTCATCATCTTCGTCATCTTTTATCGCCTGTCATCATCTTCGTCATCTTTGCACAGCCTTACCGGTTTCGGCTTGACGATGCTGCGGGCATATTCGCACTAGTACTTGTTCGACGGAGCCCTGGACGTGATTGCAGTCAGATGCATCCAGGTTTGCCCGTGCACAATGAATGCCTATATCTTGCAAATGAACTCCGTGTCAGCATATACGCATGGACAGTCTGGAAATAACGCAGCAACGCGGCCGCGCTAGTGGAGGGATTCAGCGCAGACATGTGGTCCACTGGGGATTCAGGGAAAAGCTACCTGAATGAATGCATGAGTGTTTTCACAGCTGAATGATACCGCAGCCCTGAAGGTCCAAAACCGGTGTCTGTATTTGTTTGTTTGCTTGTGCTTGTGTGTGTGTGTGTGTGTGTGTGTGTGTGTGTGTGCGCGTGTGTGTGTGTGTGTCAGGAGAGACTGTTTCGAGTTGCGGGGTTTCCGATGGTGGAAAATTGCCTCGAGGGATACAACAGCTGCATGTTTGCGTATGGACAGGTGAGACTAGTTCCGGAGTACCGCCTCGATCACCTACCCCCAAGAGTCCCATCCCCGCTTCTGTCTGTCTCTTTCTGAGAACGCTATCGTAAGTCCTCCCTCTGCTTTAGATCTTTGCCTCCTATCACTCCAGGCATGTTTTATGTAATTCTTTGCCCCTGCAACTCGAGTGACAGGAAACATAGTTGTGAAAGACAATATCCGATTAGAGACGGTGGTAATCGTTGCCGTCTGCGCCAATTGATCATCTCGCCTCGATGCGCAGGTGGTTCTCGCAAAGAGCATGTGTGAGGTGCATGTCCAAAGCGTCGTCCAGCACCATCGTCTTGTATTATTCTATGGGGGGCACACCACCCGTGCACTGGTTCTATCATATGAATATATATGCATGTACGCAAAAGGTTCTGAACAGGGGGAGTTGTAAGGAAGAAGATATAAAAAAACGAATTCATTCTTTTTTCTTCTTTTTTTCGCTTTTGCGCTCTCATATTCATGTGATGAATATGCATTTATATCCATATATACATATCCATATCCATATGCATATCTATACGTATATCCATATATGTATACATATCCTTATACGAGTGGATGGGCGATATCGTTGGTGAGAGGAATGCGCGGTAGAGAGTGTGTACGATAGAAAGAGAATGTGTGATGGGTGTTTGAATGTATTGGAAAGAGGGAGGGAGGGGAGAGTAGTGAGCGGGCATGAGAGCGAGGAAACCGGGCGAGAGAGAGAGAGAAAGGATGTAGGTAGCAAGAAGAACCGTAGATGAGAGAATGTAGTACCTGTAGCTGTAGTGTGCATGTGAAGTACGCATGTGTGTATGCGTGTGTGTGTGTGTGTGTGTGTGTGTGTGTGTGTGTGTGTGTGTGTGTGAGAGAGAGAGAGAGAGAGAGAGAGAGAGAGAGAGA